TGCAATCCATACTGAAGGCTGTGTTCATTGATCTTCATCAGTAAATGTTTCAAGTCTTCTTCACTTTCAGCAAGCAAGGTTGTATCATCTGCATATGCTGAGCAAATAATACAAGAAGCTGGATTCTATGAAGAAAAGCATGGCATCAGGATTAGAGGAAGACTCGCTAACAACCTGCGATATGCAGATGATACAACCATATTATGGGCTACCAGATACCAATCTATCTTGGAAGAAGTACAACCAGAATGCTTCTTAGAAGGGATATGGTAAGACTTTGTGTCACATACTTTGTGTGTGTTATCAGGAGGGAGAAGATTGTCAACATGATTTACCATCATGGTACTTGGTAAAGTAGAAGGTCAGTGGAAAAGATGAAGCCCCCCAATGAAATGGATGGACACAATGGCTGCAACAGTGAGCTCAGACATAGCAATGACTGAGGATGGCACCGGAACACACAGTTGTTTGTTTTGTTGTACATAGGGTCTCTATGAGTCAGAACTAACTCAGCGCCACATAACAAATTCCTCATTGACGATTCACTTTATGTACTCAAATGTCTGTATTTGGTCAGAACTATCAAAGAAATCAGTTTGAGGACTAAGGTTGCACCTGGCCCAATCTATGATATTTTAAATAACGTCATATGCAAGTAAGAGTTGAACAGTGAATAAGGAAGAACATAGAAGAATTGATGCTTTTGAGATATGGTGTTGGATAAGAATATTGACAGTACCATGGATTTCCAGAAAAACAAACAAATCTGTGTTGGAAGAAGTACAGCCAGAATGTTCCTTAGAAACCAGGATGGCAAGCCTTTGTTTCTTATACTTCAGACATGTTATCAGGAGGAACCAATCCCTAGAGAAGTACATCATGCTTAGTAAAACGGAGAGTCAGTGAAAAAGAGGAAGACCCCCAATGAGATGGATTGACAGAGTGGCAGCAGTAACAATTGTGAAGATAGTGCAGAACTGGCAGAGTCGCGCATTGTGCCACTATGAGTCGGAACTGACTGGACAGCACCTAACAGTAACAACAAGCTGTTATTTCCCAGTTATATGTGATCATGTGCTGTCTTGTTTTCTCTTAACCCTTATCTTCCCAACCTATGATTTCACTATAAAGATAATAAAAACCATCAATTTAAAACAAAGTTTTTTTGAGTTTCTAGGAGAACATGAATTACATTGTGACTATCAGACATATGCTATGCCTTAATTTTTTTTCTTGCATTAGATTAAACCTCACTAGAAATGTTCCCTCTTCAGCCCAGAATATCTCTGTGCTTTAGACCATTTCCTGGAATCCTAGGAAAGTCCCTGAAAGTCATCTTCATGTTGTAGGTTTTTATTTGATTGCATCTGTAATTATTGTATTTGTTAATCATTTCTGGGAAGCCAGGTTTTAAAGACAGGCCGGGTTATCATATTAACTGTTTGAGTATACATTTAAATGAAAGTTGAGATTTACAGCGAAGTCTTGGCTGTTCTAACATTTTAGAAATATCTGAGTATAAAACAGTGACTGTCCTATGTATAAGTGAGATTTCAAGTTAGTAGTTATTGTTATTTCTCTCACATGTTTCCCTATGCCTGTATAATTCTGACTAACTGAATGGCTGGCTTAAGGTATAAAATTCAATCGCACACTTTCTGGCAAGGATATTGGGGACTAGGGACTGTGCTTCTACCTTTCTTGATTAGTGTTCTAGCTAGTACTCCTCTAACAATTTCATAACTAATCAGCCTCCAACAATGCCATGATTAGACAGCTTCCAACAATGCCATAACTAGTCAGCCTCCAACAATGCTGTAACTAGTCAGCCTCCAACAATGCCATAACTAGTCAGCCTCCAACAATGCCATAACTAATCAGCCACCAATGATGCCATAACTAGTCAGCCTCCAGCAATGCCATAACTAGTCAACCTCCAATGATGCCATAACTAGTCACCCAACAACAGTGCCATAACTAGTCAGCCTCCAACAATGCCATAACTAGTCAGCCTGCAACAATGCCATAACTAGTCAGCCTCCAACAATGCCATAACTAGCCTCCAACGATGTCATAACTGTCAGCCCTCTGACAGAAAATGGAACTGTAATTATTGATTTGCCATTAGACTAAGTGGGGACAAAATTAGACAATTTCTAATACATAATTTTCTCTCTTAAGGAGCACTGGTTATGCTATAAAATAAGCACTGGACTGCTAATTACAGGGTCAACAGTTCAAACCCACTAGCCACTCTGCAAGAGAAGGATGAGGTTTACTGCTCCCATAAAGATTTACAGCCACAGAAACCCTCTTTAGGGTTGCTATGAGTCAGAGCCAACAGGACAGTATCTAACAACAATTTCCTCTTTTAGAAATGATCACAATAAGCCCTCCATCATATTACATCTATCCACAGGGGTGTGAGTGGATAAGCATGAGCATGAGAACAAACAGAAACATGGTTCAGTGTTCAAATGTCTTAGCCGGTAGGTTTTCTTGTTTGGAAATGGTAAGATATTATTAATCTGAATCATTTTATTTTCAACAGGTTGACATGATGAAAGAAGCATTAGAAAAACTCCAGCTGAATATAGTAGAAATGAAAGATGAAAATGCCACTTTAGATGGTGGAGATGTCCTATTCACAGGTACCATTGTATGTTTTTTCTATGCCGAAAGAATTCTAATGCTTTGCTTGTATTTATTTGTTTCATTGCAGTTTTCATTTTTATTACAAATAGATGCTAAATGGAAGAAATTTGGAAAATACAGAAAAGCATACTCAAAGATAATCACCTAAATATTTGGGCTTATTTTTCTAGTATTGTTGTATGTGTTTATTTGCATATTTTTACAAGGATATTATCAGCCTATACAAGCCATTTTTCAGTTTGCTTTCACCATATTCTTCTGCAACATGAATTTGACTGTGTATCTGATTTGTATTTAAAAGATCCTTAATTCAAGATTAATGTCATTTGTAGATAATTTTCTCCCCAGATGGCAAGATGAATTTAAATAATTTTACATGCAAATTGACTTGGATTAATGCCAGATGAATAACAGCAGAACTCAACAAAATATAAACAGCTAATATGATTATTGATTTAACTGGAATCCGTTTTTTACATTGGATATAATGTGGCTACTAAAGAAATAATAATTTTAATATTTAAGTTTCCAGTTCTTTATGATTTTATTATTATTGTTTTGTAAAATTTTATGCTAAAATCTGGACCCCTGAATTTATTCTGGTTATATTAATGAGCAAAACTCTCAATTTTTTGTTGTTAAGTGCCATGGAGTTGGTTCCAATTTATAGTGAACTGACAAGAGTAGAGGGTTTCCAAGGATTTAAATCTTCAGAGAAAAGAAAGTTTCATCTTTCACTCACAGAGCAGCAGGTGAACTCAAACTGTGGACCTTGTAGTTCACAGTCCAGTGCTTATTGTATGGAGCCACCATGCTTCCTAAGGCTAATAAGGGTAGTTTTACAGTTGTAGTGAAAGTTCATTTTCCCTTAAATACCAGAAAATTAATACCTATTTCACCAAAGCAGCTCTAACAAAAAAAGGCTGGTCCCCAGGGGTCTGATTATTTAACCCCAAATAACCCACTAAAACCATGAAATTTCTAAGAAGTATAATATTTTAACTGATTAGAGTTTTACACTGAATTCCATATATATAACCAACCATCTTTGTTTTAATACCAAAGTAATGTTTGGTTATAAAGATTTGGATATAATTAATATTCCGGAAAGAAAAGATGAGTAACTTTTTCTCATGACATTTGAGTGGCTCCTTGCTCAGTTCCAGGTACTTATGGTTGGGGTCATTCATGCTGCCCAACCTCAAGGAACACCATTTTTATCATAGGTTATGTGAATGGTGTGGCACTGTGGGATAATGTACTTGACTGCAAGGTCAGTTTGAGCCTGCAAGATCAAACTTGGCAGCCGCTCCTCAGAACCCCTTTACAGAGTCACTTTGAGTCTGAAACAACTCAATGGCACTTAACAGCATCAACAGTGTGAATGGTATCCCCTGGAGTTGTGTTCTACAGAGAGTGTGTTAACACTATCGTAGTCAATGGCCCTGCCTCTGGGGTTTGTTTTGCATGCCCATTGGAGTAACATAGCCATAAGAACACAGAACAAGGAATCAAAGAGACCTGTGCTGACGTCTCAGCTCTGGAGTGCCCAACCAGACTCAAGCATCTTTTGAATCTGCACAGTAAATTCCCCTTGGAATATTCATTGTTTCTGCCATTGGTTGCACTTTTATTCTCCTTGGGAGCACAGAACAGCAGCCTGTATCTATTAGAAAATAGAGTTCCGGTTTTGGAAGCAACAGAGACAGCCAGGTAGGAAAGGCTCTGTGGGGGAGGGATTGAAAACCCGGAGAAGCTGCACTCATAGAACAACACCAGAACTGTGAATCTAGCATAAGGTACAAGGCTTCAGTTTCCCGCATGCACAAGTGGAAAAATCATGATATAAAGGAAAATACTGCGAGTTAGGAATTGCTTGAGACAGGACTCAATCTTCAGCCAATCCACCTGGACGGAGTTCAGAGGACGGGGCTACAGCCAGACCAGCACAGGGAACCTGCTAAAAGTGGTGAAGTGACATTGGCAAAAGGAGGTGTGGGGGATTCTACACATTTTTTCCTCCTCTTCTCTGTCACACCTTCTTTACCCAGCCCAGACGTCTTCAGGTGGGTGGGTGTGCACCCCCAAAAAAGTCCAGCACTGAGCCCACAGTTTTCCCATGGCACAAAGAGAAAGAGTTGGACAGCTGCTTATGACGTCAGCCTCAGGGTTGCAACCCTAAAATTAACTTGTGCAGGACCATTTACTCTGGCCTATCTAACAAGAAAAAAGCAGGCTCGTCAGGCCTGACAGGCAAACCATATGAACAATCTATAAAACCCCAACATAAAAGGACACAACTATCTTGAGAATTATGCTGTGCACACACAGATAACCTAACTGACCTTCAGAGACAAAAATAGACAATCTTTCTCCCATTAACTTCTCAATATCTATCTGCGCATCTCTATGGTGGTGTCTAGAGAAGGGGTCTGAGCGAGCAGACACCCCCACCCACTGCTGGAGGATTCTGTGGTGCACACACACTGCCTGTGTAACAAGGCGACTGGACAGTCAGTCACAGTTTCATTTTTGTTTCAAAGTGGTGGTTTTTGTGTCTGCTTTTATATTGCTTCTTCTTTTGGTCCTTTTCATCACACATTTTTCCTGGTGGTGGGAGTTTTATCTCACTATGTTACCCAAGAAGAGACAGCAATCATGGTCATATAGCCAAGGTACAAGCATACCCCATAATATTCCACCACTGAGACAATAGCCAATAACAGCTGCTAAGCATTACATGTGAAAAGGGAAGCCTATCTCCTGATCATATCCACCAGGAAACAACCAGTAAGCTTAATAACACAACAACAAACATCCATTTAAGCCTTAAAAAAAACCAATAACTACTAGAAATGACAAAGCACACAAAAAAAGATCTCAAAACATGTCCAAAAACAGAAAAAAGTAACCGAAACAAATGAGCTGGAGACAGACAAAGGTTCCCCAGAAGAGGAAGAGAAGGCTTTGGATTTGCCTGGGAAGGAATTCAGAAGAATGATATGGAAACAAATTCAAATGCTCC